ATATATATATATATATATATATATATATATAAAAGGATAAACACATATTTTTTTACACATTAATTTTTATTGTTCTTCTCGTCTGACACCGAAATCAAACACCCTCGTTCATCCGAGTCTGCAGCCCCTTTTAAACTTAGTTATCATTCCAGTTATCAACGAAATAATTGAATAAAAACACTTTATTCCCTTTATGTATGTAAAAAAAATTTAAAACTTTTTTTTCAATTGGTTCACTAACTTTTTTTTACAACAAAACTTACTTTTAAATCTAAGCCAAATTTTATTCCAAAAATTTGTGATGGACAATTACCAACATAATTCAACAAATTAACTTACAAAATCTCTTTTGCATTTGTCTTCTTTCTATACATATAAAAGACATTTCTTGAGGCAATATATTTTTTGAATTTCTCTCTTTTTTTAATCATTTTTTTGGAAGATTCAATTAACTCCTTAAAAGTTTACACATCTTGTTCAAAGTAAATGACTAGAACTCTTGAAAACCTTTTTTTTGTCGCCTACGCACCTGTTCAGCACGTGACACATGAGTTTTTTTATAACATGATCGCACTAGTTGTCATGAGTAATAGTGAATTGAGGTTTTTTTTAATTTACTTCCTAGATTCACTACAAATATATTTTTTTCTTCCATAACAAACTTTTTTTTAAAATTTTGTATCATTTCAATCTTCTCTTTCGTATGTTTTTTTCTTCACATAATTTTTTTGATAAACCACATGTTAATTAACAAGCAAATCAACTAACTATCATTATAACAATTTTCACATAAACACATAATAAAGGTTCAGAGTTACCTCACAGAGCAGTGATGTCACGAAGCTGTGGATGCCCTTTTTTCTCTTTTTTTTGAAAGTAAACATTTTTTGGAATAAATTCACATTTTTTGTTTTTTTCCGAGAACCGTTTTTAAAGCCACATGCTCCGATACCAAAATGTAACACCCCAACTCGCATAACCCGAACCAACGAGTTAGCGAATCGAGTTGCTACTAATTTGGTATTTACATGCATAATATTTTAAAAATATTTAAAATAAAAATTCGATCATATTTACTTAAGAACAAATCATAGTTTAATCGGAGTAAATAATTCAAACGCTGCGGAAGCCTTTCAAAACAACATCCAACATCCTTGTAATTTAAAGAAACTATTCGTCCCTCTTACTTGTAGGATTCTCTTCCTCTGGGTCATCCGACCTTAATGGGCTGAGATCCGGACCATTTATTGGCCCCCCAATCTTCCTTCATTCAGAGGCTTGCTTCTTTAGTTAGATAGATCCTCTCACCGGCCCACTACATTATCTCTAGACCGGATCTTTCTTATAATGTAGGAATCCTAACTTGGGCTTTGTACCTATCTCAGGCCCTAGTCACTAATAATTAGACCTGGCAAAACTGACCCGGACCCGATAATCCGAACTGAATAACCCGGAACCAAACCCGAATTGACCCAAAAACTGAAGAACCGAAATAGAACCGAACACCCGAAATGATCCGAACCAAACCGAACCCGAACCGAATGTATTCACACCCGATTCAGACCCGAATCCGATTACACCCGAACCCGGTTAACCCCGGAACCGATTAGACCCGAAACCGATTAGACCCGAAAATTGATCAAATTCGTTAATATTTCATTTATCAAATGAATTTGGAGAAAAAGAATTACCTATATATTTTTACATATGTCGATGTGTTTCTAAAAAAACATACTCGGGGAGGAAGAGTGAGTTGAGGAAGTACGAAGTAGAATGTTAACTAAAAAGGTCGCGCCGAAAACTTTAAGAGGGAAAACTTTAGAATGTAAACAATTAGTCAATTATGTAAGTGTTTATTTTTTATGTACGTCCGTGTTAATTAATAAAATAACTATGGAGTATGTCATAAATTAACTAAATTTATTATATGTGATATTATTCATTTATTAGTATGTGTTTACATTATACTTGAACTAATATAAATTTAAACTGAATAAACTCGAATCTATATAAACCTGAATCGATACAAACCCGAACCGATACAAACCCGAACCAATATAAACCCGAATCGATACAAACCCGAACCGATATAAACCCGAACCGATACAAACCCGAACTGATATAAACCTGAACCGAACCGAAAACCAATCAAACCAAAATAAACCCGGAACCGAACTGACCCGAACCGAACCGACCCGAACCGATTATAACATATATCCGAAAGAGACCCGAACCGAAAAGACCCGAACTGGAATCGAACCGATTGACCCGATTGCCAGATCTACTAATAATGCCTCGATGGGCTTGGTTCCCGTGATAAAATAGAAGGGTTTTGTTAAAATTTATCCTTAAAAAATGTACTAAAAAAGGAAATTAAATGGAAGAATATTTTCGGACAGACTAAAAAGGAAAGTGAAAAGAACATTTTTGAACAGAGGGATTACATATTTAAAGCTACATAAAAAAATTTAGGTGACATGACTATATTATTTTATGAAATAGACAATAAAAATATGCCGCCAAAGTTTGAAGATAGTGGTGATAAGAAGCAAAATCATTGGCGAAGTCGAAAAGAGCTCACTCATTGCAGCTTAGTAAGAAGAATCAGCAACCTCATCCGTCCAAGGTTGTTTCTGCTGGCGCTAGTTCGTCATCTGATCTACTGGTGATAAGAAGCAAAGTAAAAAAGCAAGGGAAGGATAAACCTGTACAGGGCCATGGTTCTAGGGGACTTTCTTCGCATTGGGATCAAAGATACTCCCTCCCTCCCTAAATATTCACAACATTTGCTTTTTCAGCAGTTGCGGGAACTTTTGTTTATTTCGACGTTTTCATTGGTTATTTGATAAAATAAAATATTCTTGACACCTCTTATTTCGAAGAACTTTTCATGTAGTTTTTTTATATGTAAATTTTATTTTTTATTTTTATACTAATATGTAAATAAAATGAATTGAAAAAATTTGATATTTTGCCTCGGGAATACAAATGTGGCAAATAATTTGGGACGGAGGGAGTATCTTATATGGTTTTAAAGAGTAAACTCTATAAAAGATCCCTAGTTATAGTTCGTTTTATTATTTAGTCCCTATGATGGGTGTATTTCACCCACAACCGGTCAAAGGGCTGGATTAGATAGTTGACCGGTCAAAGAAGTCGAACTCGAAAGGGAGATCTGAATCGTCAGCAAAGGGGTGGCTGGTTGGCCAGAAAGTTGACCGGTACACTTCGGGTTAGTATACCGGTCAAACTACTCCATTGCCTAAATCCGTCCTCTGAAATTAGCCAAACCAACCCTCGAAGATCACCCGGTCTAGTTTCCGAAGATCGGAGAGCGTCGGCAGGAAGAATCCAAAAGAGGCTTGGACTGTAGTGGTTGGCGTTGCAGAGATGCTGGAGGAATATTTCCAAGCCAGAACGTGACAAGGAGGGTGATCCCCTCGCAAGACGACAGGGCAGCTCAGAGCCAGTCACTTCACACCACGCCAGCAGCATACCCCCACGTGGGCGCACGTGGTCCTGCTCCCCAGCCTAGTATATATACCTCTTGTAACCCTCGAATGAGGGGATC